TTCCATGATAAGTGACTTCGTTAGAGCATCCTTAAGTCTTATGTCATTCTCTCTTGCTTAAATATACATCTTTGAAACACATTGTATAGGCCTACTTTGCAGTTACCCTTACTGACAGGCCCACCACTGTTATTTCGAATCTAGATATTTCGTCTTTTCCCCTGATTGTATTTTATTTGTATTATAATGAAAACACTGTTTAAAAAAGTTTTCAGCGTAGTACATTACCACTGACTAATAGGGAGCAGCTTGTCATATTTCGGGTCTAAAGCAGATAAAGAGCAAAAATGAGACTGGCTGAGTTATAGGGACTCTAGCCACAGTCATATCCCAACAGCAAAGGATCCAGATCGCATGGAATCCTGAAAAGGCTAAACCCCGCCCCCCCCCCCCCAACAGCAAACAACTGAAAAACAAGAACAAAAAAATGAAAAATAAATAGAAACCATCCAGAAGCTGCACCACATTGGGGGGCGGGGGCGGGATCACAGTAAATAGTTCTCGCGCAAGAGGGATTAATCGACTATTAAAGAGCTTCTACTATTTTGGGCTGTCTTGTCTGCAGTTCGATGTTGTTCAGCACCCACTCAAAGCTCCCATCCACCCAATATTGCCTTCAAATAAGCGGTTTAAACACCCCGAAGTAGGCGGACCGATTTTCATGATCGGTTCTAACAGTAATAGAGAACTATTTTAGTCTTTTGTGTACCAGCTCGACTGCTCAACAAGTTCAGTAGGTCGCTCTTACACATCTGTGCTTACCCCGTCCCTTGATTAAGAGAGAGAGAGAGAGAGAGAGAGAGAGAGAGAGAGAGAGAGAGAGAGAGAGAGAGAGAGAGAGAGAGAGAGAGAGAGAGAGAGACAGAGAGACAGAGAGAGATCGAGAGAGACAGAGAAAGAAGAAAGAAAGAGAAGGGGGGGGGATGTTTTCAGTTTATAGTAGACACAGTAAGTAGAATAGACAAGTCAGGTATATACGCCAGGTAGAGATTATAAACGAAATTGTGCAGGGAAAAACAAAGAAGGGAATGCTCTCCTATTTGTATTCCCCAGCGTGAACTGTAGGTGCAATCTTTGTAATCTTTGTTGAAAAATGCAGTGCGGATCTCTCCTGTACTGCATTCCACACCAGACACTGGTCTGCGGGGCTAAGAGATGGTAGTGGTAGATTTGCACTGACCAACTGACCAGTGTGTAGCCGAGCCAATTACAATATGATTGGTGGGGGGTGTTGTGCTAATCACACACAGCTTGTGTGAGTGTGGACTAAGTGCGTGGTAGGGTCAGATTTATTAGAGTTCCTGTTGAAGCGATTGGTGTAAAAAGGGGGGGGGGGGGGAGGGGATTTGTGCACATAATCATAGCTCTATTGACAGGAAAGTGGGAGGGCGGGGGTGACTGTTAGTGTGAGTGACGTCACCGCCTTTGACTATGGCACTTCAGGCACTCTACGTTCAGCAATAATATTATTTCTGCACGCAGTAGTAACCTTCTCGTGCACATGTGGAGACACTTATATATATCCTTTCACATAACAAACACACACATACGAACGCGCGAACACACACACACACACACACGCACACACACAAACACACTCATTCGTTCACTCTCTCTCTCTCTCACATACCCACACGTACACATACCCACTAACACACACAAGCACTCACATAAACACACAAACTCACACGCACACACAAGCTCATTGACACACTTTTGCATACCTATAAATTGTTTTACCTTCTCCCTCTTCTCTTTCTCCTGTCTTTATCTGGTATACCTATATCTTTCTTCTTTCTCTTCTTCTTCTTCTCCTCCTCCGCCTCCTCCTCCTCCTCCTCCTCCTCCCCCTCCTTCTCCTCCTACTCCTCCTCCTCCTACTTCTTCTTCTTCTTCTTCTTCTTCTTCTTCTTCTTCTTCTTCTTCTTCTTCTTCTTCTTTTTCTTCTTCTTCTTCTTCTTCTTCTTCTTCTTCTTCTTCTTCTTCTTCTTCTTCTTTTCTCTGTTTTTCTCTCTGTCTCTCTATCTGTCTATTACTTACTCTCACGAGGCATGCTCACCGGAACAGAGGTAGACCTGTTGGTATTCCCCTCTGTGCCCTACTTTATCTGTTTGATGTTTTTTCATTCAAAGTTTGCACCTCCAAGCGGTTCCCTCGTGATGAAGAAAACGGTTCAGTATGTTGTAGACAGTGCTCATTTCAGACGCCTCTCAAAGTATAGGTTTAGTGAGGAGAAGCATAAAAAGCTCTCAAACTTCAAGAGATGTTTAAAAGAGGAAGGCATAGCTTGGCACCTTCAGGTACTTTGCTACAGAAGAAAGCACACTTTGCGAATTTCAATAGCTGTTTGAGAGAAACACAAAGACACACATGCACACACACACACACACACACACACACACACACACACACACACACACACACACACACACACACACACACACACACACACATACTGAGGAGAGAGAGAGAGAGAGAGAGAGAGAGAGAGAGAGAGAGAGAGAGAGAGAGAGAGAGAGAGAGAGAGAGAGAGAGGTGGGGCGAGGGGCGTGAGGCAATAATA